TGAAGTTTCCTACAGGATTAAGTTGCCAGTCTCATGTCAACTGCCCTTAGTAACCCTTTAGGACACGCATCATTTGTGGATGTGGTAATTGTTTTAGCTTCACGTAAGCCTAGAATCACGAGGGCTCCAGTAAATATCAGCGGCGCCGGCACCTGGTGATTTGGCTACCCTGAGACCCCCCCCCCCGACCCCAATGCTAGAGGGTTCATCCCTAAACCCGTAAATTTAGAAGGGGCTATGCTGCCCTTTTCTCCAAAACATGTATAGAAGTTCTCCTTTTAAGATTTTCTGTATACATATAATCTTGTTTCAAGTATAGTTTTTATAGTTATTAAGCACTTTAAAAATATTATTAATCATCTTAGCAGGTGCCTTAGTTCCCAAAGCCCCATGGTTTTTTTGTGTCGACGCCTCTGATTTATTAAAGATTATAAGGCTGATCTATATCTGCCCTCAGACCACGGACAAATCCGACCGACATACGGGCAGACGAAGACGCAAACATTCCCCCCAGCCAGACAAGGCCCCAGCTCAACAGTCGCACCATTCGCATAGACATTCAGCTCATCAGCATTATCCAGCCGCGCCACAGCCACAACAGCAGCTGCCCCAGCAGCAGCATAACCACCACCATCATCATCATCATCACCACCAGCCAGCTCCGCAGTCGCACACACAAAGTCAACATCAACAGTCAGAACCTGAAAGTGCTCAAAGTCATCCGCCAGAAAGAGACACGTCAATGGCAGAACGGGTCCCGCCGTCACGCAGGAAGACGGAACGCCGGAAACAGCAGGATGCAGTCAGTCCGCAAACAGTCCCAGTCCTAGAGAAGCCAGCCTTGCCTGTAGACCCGTCTGATGAAAGTACGTGTTCGAGTCCCGCCCTCAATGACAGGCTGCGAGCCTCGCCGCCCTTGGACAACCGACGTTCCATAAAGACCAGACCTGTGCGCAAAGGGAAGGACATGTACTGTGCTCCGCCAAAATCCCCGCCACAAGAGGTAACTTGTCTGTATTATTGATCTGTATTTGTGTGTTTTCTTGGCTGTTGTAAAGATGTTTGCCTAGCGCTCTGCTCGCTAGCGTATTTGGCTAAACCTGATTGCGCGGTGACCGGGCTACGAACTCCTTGTGGTCCGGGTTCACGCCCGAGAGTAGGCAGAAAAGCCACATTGCTCCCAGATTTACGGTATTTATCATGGAATCAAGGCCGAAGGGTTGCGATATCCATAATACCGAGCCTAAGGGTTAACAACTCATGGCTTCTGGATTATAACTAGCGCTCTGAAGGTGGTAGGTAGGCTCGTTTCACAGATAAGGTCGTTCATTTCACAAGCCAGGTTTTTTGCGGCGGTAAGTTGGGTTCGTCGCTGGAGCTATAGAGTTTATGCAACGCTTTGGGTCGGCGGCTAACTGTTCTAGGGAGGCACATCAGGCCATATGGGACCCATCCCAGTGCCGATCCTCTCGTCTTCAAACCTTTGGGTATATTTTATATTTATTTGTTCATGTTCGTTAACAAAAATCTTGGGACTGCCCGAAACTTAGATCTGGTAAACAATCTGAATGTTCAAATTCAACAATGAACTCACGAAATCTCAAAGAAAAACCTTCAAGAAAAATCGTCTGTTGAAATTTTGGCAGCTTATATATGTCTACTTAGTTGTAGAATGTTCCTGAGGATACCATCTTCAGAAAGTTCATCACAGTTTGCCAATAACATTTGAATTAACTGTGGAAGTATTTTCCCAAAACAAAATTGTCCCAGATCTTCTAACATTTGTATTTTATTTTTAAAACTCTTTGAGTGATGAAATCCAGAGCGGCCTTCACCCACTTGCCCTGTGTCTACAAACTTTACACCCCACTGTCTTATATCTACAAATTTGACCTCACTGTCCTACATGCACATATTTGACCCCACTGTCTATCCATGTACTTGACATCACTGTCCTACATGCACATATTTGACCCCACTGTCTATCCATGTACTTGACCTCACTGTTCTACATGCACATATTTGACACCACTGTCTATCCATGTACTTGACCTCACTGTTCTACATGCACATATTTGACACCACTGTCTATCCATGTACTTGACCTCACTGTCCTACATGCACATATTTGACACCACTGTCTATCCATGTACTTGACCTCACTGTCCTACATGCACATATTTGACACCACTGTCTATCCATGTACTTGACCTCACTGTTCTACATGCACATATTTGACCCCACTGTCTGTCCATGTACTTGACCTCACTGTTCTACATGCACATATTTGACCCCACTGCCTATCCATGTACTTGACCTCACTGTCCTACATGCACATATTTGACCCAATTGTCTATGCATATACTTGAGCAGGCTGTCTTGTATCCACAGGTGGAGCCGGGTGAAGACTGTGGTTTAGGAGTTATACAGGTAAGCTATAAAGAAGACGACCATTTCCTTCAACATGTTACTGTCTGAGCCAGACTTGGTCTATCAACATCCCTTCGTCCACCAGACACTGAACGACAATGATATCATTCAGTGTAATACTTTACCCTGAACGACAATGATATCCTTCGGTGTAATACTTTACCCGGAACGACAATGATATCCTTTAGTGTAATACTTCACCCAGAACGACAATGATATCCTTCAGTGTAATACTTTACCCAGAATGACAATGATATCCTTCAGTGTAATACTTTACCCAGAATGACAATGATATCCTTCAGTGTAATACTTTACCCAGAACGACAATGATATCCTTCAGTGTAATACTTTACCCAGAACGACAATGATATCCTTCAGTGTAATACTTTACCCAGAACGACAATGATATCCTTCAGTGTAATACTTTACCCAGAATGACAATGATATCCTTCAGTGTAATACTTTACCCAGAACGACAATGATATCCTTCAGTGTAATACTTTACCCAGAACGACAATGATATCCTTCAGTGTAATACTTTACCCAGAACGACAATGATATCCTTCAGTGTAATACTTTACCCAGAACGACAATGATATCCTTCAGTGTAATACTTTACACAGAATGACAATGATATCCTTCAGTGTAATACTTTACCCAGAACGACAATGATATCCTTCAGTGTAATACTTTACACTGAAAGACAATGATATATTTCAGTGTAATACTTTACATTGAAGACACAAAATAAATTAGGGATCTTTTCACACAGATGGTGTTGAAGGACAAGCTTGCATTTTTGCGACCACTGCCCGAACTGCAGGGGCGCGGACTCAGAGAACGCATTAGTGGAGCCTTGTTTAAGTGCGCAGCAATAACATTATTATTATTATTATCTTCTCTGTTCATCTCAAGATGCAACTGCAGTGTGCTCGTTTACAGCATGGCTGCGATATATGCGCCTTTAGGTCGACACATCTAACTTCTTCAAGCATTTGGAGCCAGGTTACTTTCATAGGTCATTTCACAGCGTCATTATTGTATCGTTATTTTTTTTTCCTATTATTATTATTGTACTAGCAAGAAGAAGGATAAAGAAAAAAACATAGAAGTAGGAAGAAAAGGGAAAAAGAAAATGTAAGGACAATAAGTAGTTGCCCGCTAAACAGGAAAAGTAGAGAAAAGACAAGGGTCCTTCTATGCAGGGGCAAAGGAAATATAAATAACAGTATTAAACAACTGACTACACTACATATTACCACATACCCTTTTAGCACGGGAAGTTTTTCAGAGGTCTAGCCAAAAACACGGAGCATTTTTTCAGTGAATTTGGTTATTACTTTATTTAATTTTTTTGACAGATTTCTGTTATTCTGACCCCTATGAAATAATATATCTATTTGAAGGATATAGATTGAAGTTCGTGATTTTCACAATATCGTTAAAATTAATTGATGTAAATGCAAATTATCTCATTTGCATTTCTAAAAATAGAAAATATGAATTTGAATTTTCAACTTCAATGCTTGAAACATAAAACTAAAAACGAAAAATTTTTTTATTTGAAATATTTTTATTGATCTTTGGCCTTTTTACAAATGTTGTAAGCAATTCAAAAGTCAAAAACAGGTATATATATGTGAAACAGCAATAATATCTTTAGGTGACATATGTTTTTCACCATCAGTCAGCACTAGAAATGGATGTGCCGGAGTGTCAACATCTTCGGGTGGATATACCCTGAGCCATGGTTGGGCTGTGGTCTGAACACAACAGCGTCCCCATCTGATTCCCACTATTACTACTAACACTAAATCCTGCATCAGTATCAACAGAATTAGTGTCATCACTTGATTCAAATGTTTTATCAACATCAGGTTTAGGGGCAGAAACATACGAGTCAGACATATTTTTAGCGGTTCAGGTCACTATCTAAAAAATTCAACAACAATTTCCACTTCGATACCAAACACTCGAAAGTCGCCATGTGTAAAGCTGATACCGCAGTTAATATAAATAAATCACTTTCAGTGTTTCAAAGTAGGAGATTTCTTAGCGGTTCGAGGCGAAACACGATCGGGCCGATCATCGGCCGTTCCGTGTTTTTAGCCAGACATCCTCCGGCCGATAATCGGCCCGTTCGTGCTAAGAGGGTTGAACAACTGACTACACTACATATTACCACATAGGCAAGGCCTAGACAAAACACGGGCAAACTACAAGTTATGTCTTGAATCAAGCAAATTAATATAACCATCACATTCAACATCTGGTGTGTGTGTTTCTTTTAAACTGAACACAAAACTAACTTTGCTTCACAAATAAGAATACATTAACAACCAACATCGTGTTCATACAGGCCACGCGCTAAGCACTGCAACTAACAAAAAATGAATATTCTCTTCTAGTAAAGCGACATAAAATCAAATATCTCCTGGCGATGATACCCACTGATATCCAAGTCTACGCAGGTTAACTACTAGAGAAACTTATATCTAAGACCGAAACTAACCATAGAACATACCACCGCTGTAATCAAAGAGCCAGACTCTCTATCTCGGCTCGATAGATCTCATCTGTGTCGCGATGAGACCACGTGCGATCAGCATTGGCAACCAATGGGGAACTGACCACGGCCAGCGGAGAACACGGCAGAGAGCGCGCACAGTGAAGTACAAATTCTGGCTCTCCTGTCAACTACGGCTGGTAGACAACGGTAGACGGCCGGTTAGTCGGAGTTCTGTCCCTTGGCTACAGTGCAGTTACTGAGTGGACAAGGAGGGAACGAAACAAATGACACAATTACTGTGTGTTAGCGATAGACAGCGTGCACTGCCCTGCTATAATCATACGGTTACGGTTAGGGTTAGAGTTAGGGCTAGGGTTATGGTTAGGGTTAGCGTTGCGGTTAGTGTCGCCGCATCTCGTCTTCGCAGAAACTCAACGTAGCAACCCAAACCCTAACCATAACCCTAAACCCTACCCATAATCCTAACCCACATCCTAACCCTAAACCTAACCCAAACCCTACCCCTAACCCAAACCCTAACCGTATGATGACAGTAGGGCACTGCACGCTGTCTATCGCCAACACACAGTAATTATGTCACTTGTGTCCTTCCCTCTAATCCATTTTTTTTTTATTCGTGCCTTCTCCAGTCCGTAATTGCACTGCAGCCAGGGGACAGAACTCCGACTAACCGGCTGTCAACTGTTGTCTACCGGCCGTAGTTTACAGAAGAGCCCAAATTCTTTTTATAGATACCGTGTCTTCCTGAGCTGCCAGATTTTTTTTTTTTTTTTTTGAAAGGGCAGCTTATCAAATAAATTATAAACGGCCTTTGGCGTCCTGTCACATCAATATCATCATTATTATGTGCTGAATGGCACATAAATATAATATAATATTTGAACAAATATCAAATGCACACACAAACAATCGTGTAATTAAATAGAAAACATCTCAACATGATTCGGGGTGGAGGAGGGGTGGTGCTAAGCTTCTGCTAGAGGGAGCTGACCCCGCCCCCTGCCCCACTCTCCAACATGTTTTCCCACTTCGAGAGAGGGGCCTTAAGCTACCCAGGCTCCCATGTCCCGGACGACTGCCCAAACGGTAAGTGTGTTTTAGAACCAGACGGCAATACCCGCCATGGAGGGTGACAGAAAAACATGATAGTTCTATTACATTTGTTGGGGTGGGGTTTTATTGGCGTAATATTTAATACAGCTTCAAGAACTATTGAAATAATTGTAACAGAAATTCAAAAGAACATTCATTGTTAGAACTGTGCGAAAGGGCGGGGGGGGGGGGGGGGACAACTCTGGTAATTACAAACGTATAGGCCCGTTTCTGTTTGGTAATATAAAAACAAGAAGCATTTGCACGGCAAAATAGAATTAGATACTATAGGAACATCATTGATATTATACGAATGGTTAGCTTCGTATAAATAACAAATAAATACTAATTTTAGAGACTGACTACTATGTTAGGTATCCTAAGTATTAGTCACATGTGGTGTAACTTCTCTTCTGCATGTGGTGTAACTTCTCTTCTGCATGTGGTGTAACTTATCTTGTGCATTTGGTGTTACAGCTATCTCTACTATCTTACCGCAGCTCCAGATCAGCCATGATGACTTCGACAACACACTCAACGTCCACGTGATACAGGCCAGAAACTTGAGGCCTCGCGACCTCAACGGACTCTCCGATCCCTTTGTCAAACTCTACTTGTTGCCAGGACGAGGGTTAGTTTTACATTTCGTGTTGAATCCCTTGTTTGTTGTGTCTTCTTCTTCTGCTGCTGTTTTTCTTCTTTATTTTCTGCTTCTTCTCCTCCTCATCGTCCTCATCCTTCTTCTTTCGCTTGCTCTTACTGTTTTAATTGTTGTCGTTATTATTATTTCTTCTTCTTCTTCTTTTTCTTCTTCTTCTTCTTCTTCTTCTTCTTCTTCTTCTTCTTCTTCTTCTTCTTCTTCTTCTTCTTCTTCTTTTTCTTTTTCTTCTTCTTCTGCTTTTTTTTTTTTCTTCTTCTTTTTCTACTTCTTCTTCTTCTTCTGCGGCTGCTGCTTTTTCTTCTTCTTCATATTTTATTCCTCCTCCTTCCTGTCGTTTTCCTCCCTTCTGTGTATGCATGTGGCTGGTTAGACATTTCTAGCAACTTATATTTGTCACATAGTACGCCGTATCAAATATTTTGAAATAATAGAAACAATACTATTCATGCAATATTCCTAGGCTGTAGTCAGCAGTTGGGAAATATGTCGTGTTTTCCACCTGTAAATATGTCGTGTTTTCCACCTGTAAATATGTCGTGTTTTCCACCTGTAAATATGTCGTGTTTTCCACCTGTAAATATGTCGTGTTTTCCACCTGTAAATATGTCGTGTTTTCCACCTGTAAATATGTCGTGTTTTTCCACCTGTAATATGTCGTGTTTTCCACCTGTAAATATGTCGTGTTTTCCACCTGTAAATATGTCGTGTTTTCCACCTGTAAATATGTCGTGTTTTCCACCTGTAAATATGTCGTGTTTTCCACCTGTAAATATGTCGTGTTTTCCACCTGTAAATATGTCGTGTTTTCCACCTGTCTCGTGACTTTTCTTTTAAAAAGAAACAGACTAAACCGAGACGATCACCTTTTAACATTATATCATACGTACCTATTGTAAGATAGAAGGTACCTATTGTAAGATAGAAGGTACCTATTGTAAGATAGAAGGTACCTATTGTAAGATAGAAGGTACCTATTGTAAGATAGAAGGTACCTATTGTAAGATAGAAGGTACCTATTGTAAGATAGAAGGTACCTATTGTAAGATAGAAGGTACCTATTGTAAGATAGAAGGTACCTATTGTAAGATAGAAGGTACCTATTGTAAGATAGAAGGTACCTATTGTAAGATAGAAGGTACCTATTGTAAGATAGAAGGTACCTATTGTAAGATAGAAGGTACCTATTGTAAGATAGAAGGTACCTATTGTAAGATAGAAGGTACCTATTGTAAGATAGAAGGTACCTATTTTGAGATAAATGGTACCTATTGAAAGATAGAAGGTACCTATTTTGAGATAAATGGTACCTATTGTAAGATAGAAGGTACCTATTTTGAGATAAATGGTACCTATTGTAAGATAGAAGGTACCTATTTTGAGATAAATGGTACCTATTGTAAGATAGAAGGTACCTATTTTGAGATAAATGGTACCTATTGTAAGATAGAAGGTACCTATTTTGAGATAAATGGTACCTATTTTGAGATAGATAGTACCTATTGTAAGATAAATGGTATCTATTGTATACATAGATAGTACCAGTTTCAATATAGATCTATGAGAATTAACGTCATGAACACAGAACGACGTGCTGGGCAGTACAGACTTAGGTTGCCTGTTTCACAAGACACATGTTGTGTTGTTTAATTACTTTAGTATCCTTAAACAGGACACCTCAAACATGCCCCAGCATTTGTTAACCGTTTGTGGGTTTTCTAGAACATTTGAGGTTCAGAAGTTTACCTGTCCTTCACTGGTCAGTCGGCTCCTCCATATCGTTATCGATATCAACGTAAAGTGGTCTGCTGTCAAATCGTCTGAAGCAGAATCTGCCAGACAATACCCTTGTGGGTTTCGAGGACCGAATGTTGGGGGAAGGGAAGAGAGATAAGACGTACTGACCTCTGAGAAGCATTTTGTCAACGGTGACTAATTATACTTTGCTGAAATCGGATGTGTTGAAAAACGCAGATATCGCAGCCTAGCAGTAAACAGCAGTTATTTTAATGACCAAAAAAAAAGAAGAAGAAGAAGAAGAAAAAGAAGAAGAAGAAGGAGGAGGAAGAGAAGAAGAAGAAGAAGAAGAAGAAGAAGAAGAAGAAGAAGAAGAAGAAGAAGAAGAAGAAGAAGAAGAAGAAGAAGAAGAAGAAGAAGAAGAAGAAGAAGAAGAAGAAGAAGAAGAAGAAGAAGAAGAAGAAGAAGAAGAAGAAGAAGAAGAAGAAGACGAAAAAGAAGAAGAAGAAGAAGAAGAAGAAGAAGAAGAAGAAGAAGAAGAAGAAGAAGAAGAAGAAGAAGAAGAAGAAGAAGAAGAAGAAGAAGAAGAAGAAGAAGAAGAAGAAGAAGAAGAAGAAGAAGAAGAAGAAGAAGAAGAAGAAGAAGAAGAAGAAGAAGAAGAAGAAGAAGAAGAAGAAGAAGAAACATAAAGAAGAAGAAAAGAAAAAGAAGAAGGAGAAGAAGAAGAAGAAGAAGAAGAAGAAGAAGAAGAAGAAGAAGAAGAAGAAGAAGAAGAAGAAGAAGAAGAAGAAGAATAAGAAGAAGAAGAAGAAGAAGGAGAAGAAGAAGAAGAAAAAGAAAAATGAAGAAGAAAAAGAAGAAGTAGAAGAAGAAAAAGAAGAAGAAGAAGAAGAAGAAGAAAAAGAAGCAGAAGAAGAAGAAGAAGAAGAAGAAGAAGAAGAAGAAGAAGAAGAAGAAGAAGAAGAAGAAGAAGAAAAGAAGAAGAAGAAGAGAAGAAGAAGAAGAAGAAGAAGAAGAGAAGAAGAAGAAGAAGAAGAAGAAAGAAGAAGAAGAAGAAGAAAAATGAAGAAAAAGAAGAAGAAAAAGGAAGAAGAAGAAAAAAAGAAGAAGAAGGAGAAGACGAAGAGATCATGCGGTCACCAGTTAGTCCAAAGACATTACACATTTCTTTCAATGTTAGCTATTACATTAGCTCAGTAACTCAGAAAAAGAACCGAGTATTTCTGAATTATGAAGCACGTTTGAAACCTCTAATCCACAGCCTGCGAAAAATATACTATGTTAAAGAAAAGTATTTTCTCAGTTATATATAGTCATTGCTAAATGTACAATGTCGGCTGGGGGATTGACAGTAAGTGTCCCTTACAGACAGGAGAACAAGCGGCGTACAAAACATATCCCTCGAACCTTGAACCCAGAATGGCACCAGACGGTCATGTTCCAGGATGTAGCCAGACTGGAGCTGCAGAACAAGGTGCTCGAGGTCACCGTCTGGGACTATGACCGCTTCAAGACCAACGATTTCCTTGGGGAGTTGATCATTGAACTCAGAGGTTTGTTTCCTGCCTTTCTGTGTGCCTTTTTTGTTTGTACATTCAGGGCCGTTTGATGTTTGCAGTTGGTAAACTAGCTGTACCATTGTCAGCAACTGCTGGCGTCTCCTTGATGAGGCAAATAATACCAGGGGTTTAGACATCTATAGCGCCCCCTCCCCCACCCCACCCACCCCTCCCACAAGACTGGTTCTGTTTTAAAGTTGTTATTTATACGTGTTTTTTTTAAAACATTATTACATTTATTTGCTAGTCACCTGTGTGTGTGTGTGTGTTTGTGAGTGCGTGCGTGTGTGTGTGTGTGTGTTTCGTTACGCAACGGTTCAGTAGTTCGGAACCTTTTTTTTCTAGGCACAATTGTTTTAGCATTGCTGTAATAGACACTTGATGGCTGGTACTGCCATTGTTTGGGGGAATACCAGCAATTTTCTGTTCTAGGGAACAAGCCCTGCTCTCATGGAGTATGGTGATAATAATATTAATAGTTAAGCACTTTCAAAAGTGGTCAGCCCTTTAGGCAACTCTCATCCCCCCCCCCCCCCCCCTTTATTTCCCCCGCCGAAAATAGATAAAGGTACTGGGGTACAAGATGTTTTTTTTTTCTCTAGGCCCCCGACTAAGACAGTTAGCCCGTACTCTGAAGGTCGTGGATTCGATTTTGGATTCCGTTATTCCGTTGACGAGTGCAAATATCTCGGAGAGTCATGTAGTTCTTGGTGGGGCTATAGAGTTCGCATTTTGTGCAACACTTTCGTATTTAATGGATAGGGTGAGGGTGATACTGATATCCGTGCAATAACATGCCTGCAATAACATGCCTGCAATAACATGCCTGCAATAACATGCCTGCAATAACATGCCTGCAATAACATGCCTGCAATAACATGCCTGCAATAACATGCAATACAAGAAATGGCTAAGATCCCGCTCAGATGACGATTATATCAAGTACAGAATTGCCAGGCGACAATCTGCAAGAGAAATTAAACAATCCAAGGAAACATCCTGGATCATGTATGGGGAAAATCTTACCAAAATCTGTGCTAAATCTAGTAGACAGTTTTACAAAACCATTGCAAAAATGAGAACTAGAGATGAACCATTCCAGCCATCTGAATATGTCAATGATAGTCAAGGCAAACCCATACATGAGAAGGGCAAGATCAGAGAAAGGTGGAAAGAATATTTTCAGACTCTTCTGAATGTAACAGGAAATGAGGAAACAGTACCATTCACACCCAGATGTACAAACGAGGAACAGCCTACAATAATCGAACAAGAAGTTAGAGAAGCAATCAAATGCAGTCCCAAAAAAAAGGCATCAGGTGTTAATGGAATATCAGCCGAGGCAATACAGGCTTGTGGAGAAATTGGAGTCACCTGGCTACTCCACATATTTAGGAAAGCCTGGAATGAAAGAACTGTACCAATAGACTGGCAAAGAGCCCTTATAGTCCCAATTTGGAAAAGAAAAGGCAATAAGCAAGATTGTAACAATTACAGAGGCATCTCCCTTCTAAGCCACGTAGGAACAATGTTTGCCAAAATTCGGGAACAACGAATTAGATCCATTGTAGAACCGATCCTGAGCCCATCACAGGTCGGATTTAGGAAAGGAAGAGGGTGTACTGACGCTATTTTTGCTTTAAGACAAGTTAGCGAAAAGACAATAGAACACAGACATCAAATGAACATCGCTTTCATAGATCAAGAAAAAGCTTTCGATAGAGTAAACATAAATTTATTATGGAAAGTTCTTGAAAACTACGGTATAAATGTAACAATTTTAGATTGTGTTAGAGCTATTTATAGACAAAGTGAAAGTGCCATTAGAACAAGAGCTGGCATCACAGACTGGTTCCCAGTAACATCAGGAGTAAGACAAGGTTGTGTATTATCACCTTTACTTTTCATAATATTTATGGACAATATTAATAAAATAGACATAACACCAACAGATGTCGATAAACAGGAGGACTTCAATGAGCTGCTCTTTGCCGACGATCAATGCATATTTCACAGTGATAGTAAACAGCTGCAAGACCACATAAACCTACTACACGACAGTTGCCTAAAGCATCATATGAAGATCAATACTGAAAAGACAGAAGTCATGAGCATAAGTAGAGAGCAACAGACCATCGACATAAAGATTCTAGATCACAGCCTAAAACAAGTGCAAGAATTTAAATACTTGGGAAGTATCTTTACATTCAATGGTAAAATAGACAGAGAGATCGAAGCAAGAATCCAACAAGCCAACAATGTCGCATACCAGCTTGCCCCAATTTTAAAACACCCTGCTGTCCCAGCTGAGATAAAAAGACAAATTATAAATACAATCGTTATACCGACATTAGGTTATCAATGTCACACTTGGACATTAACAAAAGAACACGAGAGAAGACTAACCACCTGTGAAATGAGATGTTTGAGAATGGCTGCGAATAAAACCAGAAGAGATCGAGTGAGAAACAATGTGATTACAAGAACTATTGGAACCATACCCATCGTTAAATTTATTGAGAAGCAAAGAATGAAATGGTTTGGTCACCTAATGAGAATGGAACCAACGATGCCAGCATCAAGAGCATACAACATGAAAATCGAAACACCAAGAGGCAGGGGAAGACCAAGAAGAAGGTGGATTGAAGGAGTCACGGACAACTTGAGACTTCTTAACATCACGGCATATGAAGCGACTGAGCGCGCCCTGGCTCGGTTGCTGATCATTTGATAGACTGCGACGCCTAGCGGCACAAGCAGATTTTGACAAAAGAAAGAATAACATGCCTGCAATAACATGCCGACTAGGATACTTCCAATCGTACGTTTGTGATAAGGTGAAATTGAAGTAGCAGTTAGTACCCATTGGGACAAACTGGTAAACAAAACATGTGGGGATCAGACTGGCAGACACAACCTGTGAGTCAGAGTGGCCTACAGGATCCACTTTGTTAAAGTGGCTGTCTGGACCCACTTGGTTAGAGTAAAGGTAAAAGGTCAAGTCGGGAGATGTGAACCAGCGTCATTGCACACGGTTATAAACCATAAGTGCTCTGCCAGCAGTACGGACAGCTGATAAGAAACTGTCTGCCTGTGTCGCCGTCCGCACGTAACTCTGTAGCTACAGCAACGTTCCTCCATTTACCACAGTGCCACTCTGGTACCCATATCCTAGAGGCTGGGGAACCGACCGGTTTCGAACACCGACCGTGGGCTGCAGCGAGTCGCAGCTGGATTTGAAAGCGAGTCTCCCATCTGTCACATATCACTCCTGTCGCGTGCCTAATGTAAGGATTTCTCCTTCAGAACCAACAGCACTCAGAAATAATTATGTTGAGTCGTTTGGCTCGTATTGGTCTAAGGGATTCCCCGTGGCCAATATACGCTCAACTTATCTCTGGAGTAGGGCAACTCAAGTATTGGCACTACAAAATATGTCAGTATATGAATACAATATTTCTAGGCACACTTGGCTGGACACCCCCACTACTTACTAAAGAAAGCCCCCAGGTTATGATAGTTCATTATCATAACCATGTTAACACATATAATGAAGGTACATGTACACACAACTGCTAAACACTTAAAAAGGTGACATAGAGAAACCTAAGTCAGCCATGAAAATGAATGCATGTAATCAGTATAATATATATACATATAATAGTGAAGTGAATTCCAGCTATCAGTGGAAGAATCTCAGAAAATAATGTCTAGATACCAAAGATACTACACAGACAGCAGGTCCTGGAGATGACATCTTATCATCATTGGGAAACATAGGAGCTGTGAGGAATAAAGCACATAAGGCATCAAACTGCACTTAGCCTCTTTCTGTCTATGATGCCTCCCTCAGCTCCTGATGATTCGACTGTCTTTGACTCTGGTAATTCTGCTCAACTGGATCAGGTAGTGAAAGAGTACCTCACCATAGAGGACACAGCAATTGTACCGGTAATCAGTAAGTCTCTCCCACCAGTTAGGTTACAACAGGGACTCTGAGCTACACCAAGCTCTTGCACTGGTAGGCTGTTTGGGTTATCTGCCCCCACATGGTGATAATGTCAGAAACCTTCACAGGTGTTAGCTGGTGGTTAGTTGGTTGATAGTTGGTTTATGGTTGATTTATGGTTGGTTTATGGTTTATGGTTTATGGTTGGTGGGTGTTGGTTGGACTGTGAAACTTCTGCCAGCTCCTCACAAAGGATTCATCCTGCCAAGAAATAACTCAGAATTAGTCATCACCAAGAGGGTAACATCTTGACAGGAAAGACAGAACAAGCATCAGTCATCATCCCCCATCTGCCTACTCCACCTTGCTCTCCTGTTTCATTCCTCAGAATGCCTCTCTAGACCAGGAGACACAAGTCCCCTATCATTCATCTGTCTGTTTAGTGCAAGAGAAGGAAAGTCAGATATACAGTGGAGATAGATAGAGTGTTCTAACACATATATCACTCTCTCTCTCTCCCCTCCCCTCTACACACAGACACCAATATTTACTGTCAGTACCTTTATTTCTTAGCCTCCCAAAGCCCGTCCTACCATTCATTGATCTGGGTCAACACACTCACATACTAGCCGACAAAGTCCTGACCTAATTCTGTCCCCATTCTGTATGCACAAACTTCTGTTGCCAGTTTAAATAGTACACACTTGTAAGGGTATTAGGTTTACCAGTATGGGTGGGTTATTTAGGGCATAGGCTATCTAGTCTGTACAGGGGAAGGTCTACGTTCGAATCCGCTTCTCTAGCGATCAAGAACGGTTGAACGATGTGTGATCCCACAGCCAATACTGATCTCTCTACAGCAGTGACTACTTTAACAGACATCATTTTAGGTACTCGTAAACTATAATTAACTTACCCAAGCATATGAAAAGTCCGAGACATTCCAGATTGCCTTATGAAAGTGAAATTATACAGGCATAGATTGACACGTCTGGACGCTTGGAGCCGGCAAGAGAGAATGGCGCAAATTAAGCACTTCAAGCGT